CGAAACATCCAGCATCAGATTTTGATGTATTTCTGGCTTCAAAATAGAAGAGGAAGCAGCAAAGGGAAAAACTTGTAGCTAAGAAAAGAGATGACACTTCTACAAAGATGATCATTCTATCCCCACTTTCAGCAGATGTATCACTGCTAAAACTACAGGTGTTACCCGATATGACGAAATAGTTCAACGTATAAAGAAATAATAAAGGCTCTACTGACACAGACTTTTAAAGCATCATAAGAAACTATATTCAGAAGCCTGCGGCAGATACAGAAGGAAAAGCACCTTGGGTGGTAAGTGATTTGAGAGCAATGCATTGGTTCTCCTCAAAATAAACTGTAAAAAAAAAAATGAAAGTCTTCATAAGATATAGCAGTAAGAATTAAGAAATAATTATAAAAGGTCAGCAGTAGTGATACTCTTTATTGATCATCGTACCAAAATCATCTAAGCAAACTGCATTTCTCTTACGAGATACATCCAGATGATGATGAAATATTAATGATAATCAAATATTTAGATACAAAATGCTAGGAAGAATCACCTGATTGACTTTTGAACTCAGTTCTGCGGAGCGGTCAGCAGCTAAATTTTTCTCTTCCTCAGTGGCTGTAGGTTCTCTTCCACATATTATAGGTGCCTTATGTTTCATATATCAAAACAAGGATGCATCAAAAGAAGGTAGTGCAAGAAACATAAACAACCTATAGTCAATGGAACTGTAATTGTATGACACAGATAATAGCGTAAACAAATTCTCTCATCCAAAAACTATTTTTAAAGAAGCTTACAATTTAATGGAATCCAAAGCCATGAAGCAGCAGTACTGGAAACGAAACAGAATAAATATAGTAGCAAAGTATTCACTATAGAATAACTTAGGCTAATCCTACCCTTTTATGCCAAGAATAGCACAGAAAGATTGATCTTGACATAGTTAGAAATGACAGAATACAGAATGATCAATCGGCATCAAAATACAAAGTCTGTCACCTCATAATAATGGCGAAAATGAGCAGCATCACCTAAACTCCCTGGATTTGTAAAGTTGACCATGGCAAAAAACTCTTCCAAGTCATTCTGGAACATTCAGATGCAAAAAAATAGAAGTGAAAGCTTAGTGTTAAAATGTCAGGAGATATTTAATAGAGATAATCATTGGAATTTTCCATTACCTGCATGGGAGTTCCAGACAACAAAACCCGACGTTTGCATGTCAATGAAGCCAAAGCCTGTAATCAAATATGATGATAACCAATATTAGAAAGAAAAAAAGGGAAATAAAATGTATCAACCTGGAAGGATACGAAATAAGTATGTATTTGCATGCTACCCTGTTAGTTAGTGTCTGGTCATTTTTCAACCTATGAGCCTCATCGCATATTAGAAGATCACAGGATTCACTCTGGCAGAACTTGGATGAGTGCATTCGGAATGTCTCGTAAGAAATGATAAGTACCTGTTAACATTAGTTAGGTGATAAGTGCATTTCTCAGAGAGTCAGCCAGAAAATTATGCACAGCTATACCTGCAAAGCGCTTCGTGGTCGAGTGAAACTATCTATTCCAGACAAAACGTCATCTCTGGTGCTTTCACAGAGGGCTATAAGCTGGATCCTGTCTCCAACCCATTTCTTAATTTCAGCTTCCCAGTTACTGACAAGACTCGTTGGAGTAACAATAATGGCCTTTTTAACCATAGGCGTCCCATCAAATCCTTGACAAAGAAGTGTGTATAGTAAAGTAATGGACTGCAATGTCTTCCCCAATCTGCCAAATCAATTTAGAAGGAAATAAGAAAATAACATAGAAAATTATACGGTGTCCAGATTCAATTTTTCAATACAGAGAAGATAGATTTTACCCCATATCATCAGCCAGAATGCAACCATTTATATTTTCCGAACCATGTAATCCTGAAACACAATCGAACATGAACTGGACACCCTCTCTGCAGTCACAGAAAAACCACCTCACCATGTAAGTAAGGTTGTATACACATCTTTGATGCCAACTATAGATAACTTTATACTCATTGGTTTGCTGTATTCACCAGCCGTTCACTGAGGGTTATATGATTTTAAACGAAGAGCACATTAATGCCTTAAGAATTTGTAAGATCACAGCACAGATTGGAATCAAGTTTTGAGATCCTTAAAGATTACCCTGTACACGATGTCAATTCTTAGATAGAAATGAATACCTTTGATGAGGGCGAAGAAATTGGACAAGCAATGAATGCACCATGATTGTTGTTACATTGCTCATTCCATCTTCTTCAGATTGCCACAATATCAAGGGTTCAATATCAGGTGGCAGACAAACAACTTCCTCTTCTTCATCTTTCTCAATATTGGTTGATGCTTCTAGCTTAGTAGGTAAAGCAACCACAACAGGAGTTGAGGAACCCCAAGGGACAAACCGTTTTCGAGCTGAAAGGCGACGAGAAAGTTTTCCAGTGGAATTATAACCATGAGAACACGGAGGCTTAAAGGGCTTCCTACAAACTGCCGCTCCTTCTGAAACCGAAAGCACCCGAGGAAGGAGTGGCTGCCGTTGCACAACTAGATTACCCCTGTCAACAGTGCAGAAGATTCAATTCCATTTTCATATAACAATGGAATACTCATTTGATACAGCTTCAGAGACTAATCACAATCATCAGTTTGAATAAAATGGAGTTAATCGAACACGAGAACTCGAAATCCCCTCTAAAATCCCTAAATTCGAACTACAAAAAAAAAACACCAAATGATACATAGCCGCAAGCATCTAAGTTTAAATTGAAATAGAGGAGCTTCAATTACACACCTCAAAAGATCATTGACGTTCTTAGATTTCCGATCGGCGTCGGATGAAGGAGAAACCACCGCCAGGTCTTCGCAGTCAGGGTTTTCGTTTTCTCCTTCCGAATCTTGAGAATCATCCTTGTAGCTATCGCTGGAATCGTCGCAATCGGAAGACGATAAGATCTCTTCATCTTCTTCCTCCATTGTCGACACACCTACGAGCCCAGAGCTCCGCTATTTCACCAATCCTAAATTTCTTTTGGCGGCAAGAAATAAACCCAAAAACAAAAAGAAAAAAACCAAATTATTTTGAAATAAAATAACCCTATTGGAAAATGACTAAACTACCCTTGATAGTACGTGGTACGCTAGAATTTGCCTAACAGTTAATTTCATGAACGTTGTAATTTCCTACCTAATTTTTAAGTATTTACCATAAAAAAATAAAAATATCCGAAATTTTTTAATTCGTCGAGGTTGATTACTTCACCCAATTTCATGGCCGTACCTGCAAATTCTCGTCTCAATGTTCCGATTATACCCTAATTGCTCTCTACCTTCTCACAGACCTCTCGTTTTCCTTCACCGTCTTCCTTCTCGCTCCCTCCGTTGCCGCGCCGCTGCTGATATTCCCCTTGGCGACGGAATCCGGTTACCTCGAGAAGCGGATTCAACCTCTGACACGGCGAGGTCTCGGGATGTTTCCGTCGCCGCCGGCGGGAATGGTGAAGGTGCAAAGTGGAGGAAGAGGAGGTTGCTCTGGTCCAAAAGTGGGGAGAGTTACTTGGTAGATGATGGTGACGCGCTTCCTCTTCCTATGACTTATCCTGATACATCCCCTGTGTCGCCGGATGTGATTGACCGGAGGTTGCAATGTGATCCTGTAGTCGAGGTTTAGCTTTGCTCCACTTTTATTTACTGGTTTTGATGATTGGATAAGCCTCAACATACTTGCACTTAGATTAAAAGTGTTTGATTTGCGTAATTTGCTCTGTAATTTACTTTAGAACCAATCACTATGTACACACATGTGAGTCGCTCCTGCAACTTGTAGATTGATTTTGATTGTTCCTTTTTACGGAGCCATAAGCTCAGATTCTTGAAAGCGAATGATATTTCTGAAATTTGAAACTTAACAAGGGGTTTCATTTTCCGGACTTATACGATATAGGCATAGGTGTCAAAAGTATCTAAAGTATAGATGCAAGATCTTGTAGATATGGGATAGCATTTTGTGAAGAACGGGGAAAATGGTGCTAAAGTTTGACCTGAAGTGTCCTTTTTTGGAAACTTGTGCTGCACTTGGTCTAAGTTAGTCTATACCTCAGTTTTATGTGTTTGAGGCAATAGGCAGTGGTACAATGTGCCTAGAATATATTTCTTGAATGATGCCGTATTTGCTTTAGAATGCCTTGGGATTGTTTTATTTCTGATCATAATATACTCGACCAATTCATAGGATTGCCGGGAAGTGGTTTATGAATGGACTGGAAAGTGTAGAAGTTGCCAAGGATCTGGAACTGTCAGCTATTACAAGAAAAGGGGTAAAGAGGTTATATGCAAGTGCATACCCTGCCAAGGGATAGGTAAGTCTCTGAGTGTGGTTCTTTTTCCGTGTTTTTTTTCTTTCCTCCAGTGACTTTCCTGAGGTGGATCTTATGATAGTGTTAAGATTCTAGAGTATCTTTGAGTTGTTTCCTTGATTAGTCTTTGTGAAAAAAGAAAACAAAGCCATACTTACTGAGTTTTGCAGTTTGGTTTCGATCTAGTGTATTATGCAAATCAATCTTGACTTGAGAAGTTTAAACTAATTGCAGGATATGTGCAGAAGATAACATCTCGGACGGACATTGAAGTGATGGAAGATTTGGATAATGAACCATCCTGACCTTGAATCTGGCCCATTTTTGCATGTGAGCTTGGGTTCGTTATTGAAGTGTATTTGTTGCATGTAAAAAACTACAACCAGAAGAGAACTAGGTGCTTCTTTCGGATGTTTGGCCCAAACAAGCTGATCGGAGGTATAGACAGAAACTACTGATTCTTTCTCAGATAATGGCTTCTTCTTTCACCAATACGCCCCATAGAGGGCAATTACTGTTTTATATGTATCAGATCTCGAGACACCACGAACTGCAGGACTTTTTTGTGTTTTTAGGCTGTTTCAATCTGACTATGTATATCACAGAGAAATAATAGCAGTAACACGATCCATTTCAATTTGTGCGCTTTATCTCTTGGTTCAAGTTACTCTTAAGGGTGCAAAGGTGGTTCAATAACATGAACAAATAATTTACATATTTTCTAGTCATCTAGAAGAACCTCGTAAAAGTAAAACTGTCAGTGCCCCGATGCTTCCTTCATCGAACCACCTTTCTTCACGACATCTGTGTACTTCAGTTATTGAGGCCATGAAAAATGACCCTGTAGTTAAACAGAAGCCCTGATTTATCATTAATGAGCACTTGAATCTAATCAGCTGTTAGCAACCGGAAATTGGCCGGTCTTATTTGTGCTTGGCATGTTCTCAGGAGACGCCCTACAACAAGTTTTTGACATCAAAATGCTTATGAAAAATGCGTTTTCCTTTCAAGATAACAACTTGGTACTGATTCTTACTGAATAGTTAGGCCCTTTCTCTGGAGGAGTACAATCGGAATTGTACCATTAAGCTTGTTGTTCTTGAGGGACCTGCAGATTAACTATTAACATCAACAAGGATGGTGCTAGTTATGATGATGTTGCAATCTGTTACAGGTCAAAATTTTAGTTTGTCGTATAACTATAGAGAACACTTTTGTTCATGTTATCAGATTTGTATGTGTAGGCTTGCTGTTAAAGGCAGAGAGGAGTGAAAAGACAATTTTACAGTGTGCGGAGATTAGGGAGCTTTGCAAGTGACTCGGGAATCGCTCCAGTGAACTGATTATCCTCTAAATGTCTGCCTCATCTCACAAAACAAAACGGTAAGTCCAATAATCTAAATCTCTTGCACAACACTTAGAAGTTTGGTTACAAGAAGGCATACAGAGTTTCCAATCTCGTCATTGGACTCAAATCTGGGATCGGTCCTGTGAGCTTGTTCTTCCCCAACCATCTGCAAATCCGGAAGTTGCAGCTGAGTCTTATTTTACAAAAAGATAAAACCCCAGGCACTGACAACTTTTAGGATGTGAAGTACTTACAGATCTTTAAGGGCAGTCATCTTGTTTATGCTTGGTGGTAGAGACCCAGATAGTCCAAGATTTGTCAAATTTCTAGCAAGAGAACCAAAATCCTAGATTACGATTCTTCGAGATATAGACTTAGTGCTTGACAGCTACATAAAAAAGCTTCACTAGAGTATTGAGTTTTGACTTACAGAGAAATCACTCTGCTGATTTTTTCTTTGGAGCAAGTTAGGCCAGTCCACGAGTTAGCACGAGGGAGGCATGGGTCGCCGGACCAATCCACTGGAGGCTTCTTGATGCTCTCTAACAGATCTTCCATTGCAATTGCTGCAGAAGAGAATTTGTTTGTTCCAGTGGCTTCAGTTATTACAAAATAGACAAAAACATGAAGTAGAAGGAAACATTTACATTACCATCTTTAATATTAGTGGTTCCACCAAGAGGAAGAACTTGAAACACTTCTCCGGCGTTAATGACAGGTCCAACCGGCGCATCCTTGGCTGGAGTCAATGTGATCTGAGTCTGACCCGACAATGGCCACTGGCCAGAGTAAACCATAACCCCATTAGTGCTCACATTGAGCTTCCTTAGAAAGGAAAGTCTATTGACTGAGACATCAAAAGCCCTCCAGCTCATGGGCCCTGGACTACGATTGTCCTGAAAATACAGAGCTACATAATACTTTGTGGCCAGAAGAGGAAATGGAGGCCATTGGAGCTCTAGAGGCTTCCCTTTACTCGCTGTGAACCCTTCCACAAAGACTTCAGGTGGTGGAATGTTCCAGAAGTTTGACGGGTTAATCCTGCTTCGAGAAGTCACCGTCGGATGCTTTTGGTCTAAAAACGGTTGCCATAGACGGTTATATTTGTCATCTGGATAGCTAGGTTTCAACATGTAAGATACCATCAAAAGTCAGTCAAGAAAATGGAACTTTCAGATCATCAAACAATGCGAATCAAAAAGGGAACCTGATGATCTCTCCATCTCCTCCAAAGCTATTCCTGGCAATGAGGCTGAGCTTGTAGGACCCGAGGTCCGTGGAATTATACATTGTATCTTTAAGAGATTGGACATCTAAAGCGGATATAAAAGGCGACGAAGAAAGGGTATGTGCATTCTTGGCTAGACAAACACTTAGTCTCTTCCCAGGAACACCAACAATGATCTCGTAATAAGAACTCTGACCCTTGGCGTAATCCTCTGATGTGTTCACAACGCTCCATTTTGTGCCTCCAACGATCTGATCAAACACGGGTGGGTTGTTTTTACCATCGAAGTTACCATAGTAGTAAGTGGTACGAATAAGGTACTTGGAGGTCTTTGCGACAGGGAAATTATAACAGTGTTTTCGCGATGACTTGTCGGGAAAGTAACGTAGTGTGGAGAGGATCGGAATGAGGTCTTTCTGCTTAATGGTCGTCGTGTTTCCCACGGAAATGAAACCTTCGTCCGGTGTGTAATCTATGTCGTTGAGGTTTGTTGAAGAAGATGATCCACAATTTAAGAAGAAACCTTTTCACATGGAATGAAACTCGACGTGTTAGGGTAGTCTATAACAAATTCAAAGCAAAGATTCAAGAGCTTTTTGGAAAATTTCTAAATAGTTTATCAAGATTCGATCGAAAATGTAGAAACAATAAATAAAAAAAAGAATCGCAAAAACAGAATTTATTACCTCGAGGAGGAGGGAGAGCGTGAGAGATGGAGAAGCATAATAAGAGAAAGAAGAATAGAGACATTACTGTGACGTATTTTTGTTGAAGAAGCAGACAAAAAAAAGATCAGATTCTTTCCATTGTCGTTGATGGAGATAGAGAGAGATTGAAGGTAGAGAAAACACCTTTGAAGCAGGTGTCTGGGAAAATGTTAATGATGTTTGCAATCAAGTTTAAGATTGATGACGTAGAATATATGACATCGAACAATAAAGCGCCTGTAGCTCAGTGGATAGAGCGTCTGTTTCCTAAGCAGAAGGTCGTAGGTTCGACCCCTACCTGGCGCGTCTATTATTCATATTTTTCTGCTTAGTGTTACCTCTTTTACTCTCTTATATTTTTTTCTTTCTTTCAATCCTACTTTTTCAAATCTTCTTTTCATAGGAGAATTTTGTGAATAATGCATAATTATTATTGCTTTACTAGGATGGTTTTTTGGAGATGTATGGATTTGAAAAAAAATTAAAATGTATAAACCTTAATAAATAAAGATATAAAATATGTTTAGAATTTAAAATTATTTGTGAATTTAAAAATGAAAGATCTTTTCATTCAAAAAAAAGGGTGAACGACCTGTGTCCCCCAGTAAGTTTCATATAGTACCATAACAACACAGATTTCGGGTCTCGTCTCCAGTCCACACAAAACGAAAGTTAAACTCCAGTTTCCCCCTAAATCGAAAGTTCTAGACCTCAGTCTCCAAAATTTCAAATTTCTTGGTTTATCTTCGGTTTACTGTGCCGAACCCGATGCCAAACCAAAACCCAGAACAATAAACCGAAATTACCCAGAAACCAACCCGATTATTAGACCCATTACAATTTGGGGATTTGTTAAACGTTATGAGAAAACTGATTGAATCTTGATGGGAATCAAAATCATAAACAAAACGATAGAATCATAAATCTCTCGCTTTTTTCCCAAAGTAGCTATCTTCTTCACCAATATCCATGTCTCTTCTGATCAGATCCTCCTCCTACGTCTCTCACCTCACTCTCTTCCAACCTAGAAACTCAAAACCGTCCTCTTTCACCAATCAAATCTCCTTCGTTTCTTCTTTCAATCAAAACCCTTTTCTCAATTTGGTCTATAAACGAAACCCAATAATGCAATCTGTTTCGAAAATGACTGTTAAGAGCTCATTGATTGATCCCGACGGTGGTGAATTGGTGGAATTGATTGTACCGGAATCTGAAATCGGAGCGAAGAGAGCTGAATCAGAGACGATGCCGAAAGTGAAGCTGACGAAGATTGATCTTGAGTGGGTTCATGTGATTAGTGAAGGCTGGGCTAGTCCTTTAAAAGGGTTCATGAGAGAAGATGAGTATCTACAAAGTTTGCATTTTAATTCTCTTAGATTAAAAAATGGGACTTTTGTGAATATGTCTCTTCCTATTGTTCTTGCTATTGATGAAGAGACTAAGGAACAAATCGGATCATCCAAGAATGTTGCTCTTGTTAGCCCTCAAGGAGATATCATTGGTTCTCTTCGAAGGTATATGAAACTTTCTGGCTTTGTTGATTTATAACCTTGATATTTGAAGTAATTGACTGTTTTTGTGAATCTTTGTTTGTGAATTGCAGTGTGGAGATATACAATCTTGAAAACTGATTGTTCTGGAGAAGGATTTCACTACTCTGTTCCTCTCCAAAGACGCAGCAGAGATAGCAGCATTAGCAACTAAACTGAGGAAAGATCCAAACCTTACTGCTGAAGAGATAGTAAGATTGAAGCTGATGGAAGAGATTCCAACATTCAGCGAAGTGTTCCAAGAGAACAAAGGGGTGATTGAAGAAGCAGCATTAGCAACTAAACTGAGGAAAGATCCAAACCTTTTGTCTATTTTATGTAATGTACTATGGAAACTCAAACCTACCCGTTAGTTGATGAAAAAATTAGACCTTTTTGTGTTTCATTATCTTGTTTAATACATCTTACAAAATAACCACCCTTCGTGATCTTACAAAATGAGAGATCAAAGATTCAATCTTTCTTTTATTGCCAACAAGAAAAACAGAAGGCTACACAATATCAACGAAACGAGGAAGATTACAGTTTTGTCTTCTCTCATGTTTCAAGAGTATCATCATCAACATCATTACATAAAGAACATAACTTGATTCACTGAACAAGCACCAACCTTCCACTACCCATACCTTGTCCAAAATCACCACCACCATCATCATCATCATCTTCTTCTTCAGCATTCTTAGGCACAGTAACAATCAAATCTCCATCAACACAAGCCACAGTAACAAGCTCAGGCCTAGTAGATTCCGGTAGCCTAAAACGCCACACGTCAAGCTCTAACTCGTCTAAAGACAAACCAAGAGAAGACGACCCATTTGTCCTAACAACAATCTTGGTTATACCAGGATGAATCTCAACCATATAAGCCCTCATTTCTCCATCACCGCCACAAAGACCTACCGTCTCCGCCACGAATCGAAAACAGTCGTGTCTCTCTTCCACTGTTACATCTGCCTCTGACCTCAATGGCAGCTCCAGAACACGGTTGAAGATATGTGGCAATCGCCGGAGATTCTTTCCGGGTTCTCGGGTCGGGTTATGATGATGATGATGGATCAAAGTGTTGTTGAGGTTTCTGGGAATTGGGTGGACTCTCATAGAGCTTCGGTCTCTTCCATTCTTCATAAAGCTTTCCTCTTTCACTTTCTATTCTCTTTAATCCGTTTAAATCGAATCTCAAAATCCAATATTTCGATCAAATAATCCACTTTTCGATTACAAAACTCCAACATTTTGCAGATTTGTGTTCTATGGTTCTATCGTTTTTGTGTATGATTTTGATTCCCATCAAGATTCAATCAGTTTTCTCATAACGTTTAACAAATCCCCAAATTGTAATGGGTCTAATAATCGGGTTGGTTTTTGGGTAATTTCGGTTTATTATTCTGGGTTTTGGTTTGGCATCGGGTTCGGCACAGTAAACCGAAGATAAACCAAGAAATTTGAAATTTTGGAGACTGAGGTCTAGAACTTTCGATTTAGGGGGAAACTGGAGTTTAACTTTCGTTTTGTGTGGACTGGAGACGAGACCCGAAATCTGTGTTGTTATGGTACTATATGAAACTTACTGGGGGGACACAGGTCGTTCACCCAAAAAAAAAAAATGAAATGAAAGACTCTTCATCAATGAGTGACTCCGAGTGACCGACGCGTTCTAAAAGCGTTGCGTCAAGTTGAAGCAAAGTCCAACGTTAAACCGACGCTAACCGAATCTCCCAACAGATTCACAAAGCGCTATAAATACTTGATAAATCCCTAATTTCTCCTCCAAAATCCCTAACTTCTTCCCCTACACTCTCTCTCGAGAAAATTTCCAAATTTGTTTCGATTTAGCCCAGAAATTCCGGTAACTATTCAGATTCGATTCGACTGCGAGAATCAGAAAGAGGAAACTTGTTAATTTTGCTACTTCTCTCCGTTTCCGTTCTTCTTCTAGTAGCTGATCGAATTCCATGGGTACTTCTCAAAGTCGCGAAGATCGAATCACCGAATCGGATACGGATTCCGATTCAGATTACTATGACGAAGAAGACGAGGATCAATACGATGACGCGAAGAAGCAAGGATCGTCGTCTGTTTCTGGTTCAGGACCGTCTGATTCTTCTTCTTCAGGACCATCTGATTCATCGTCTCTCGATATTGAGGAGAAGCTAAAAGCCTTGAAGTTGAAATACCCATCTTCTTCTTCCGTAACGCTCAAGATGAAGAACGCGGTTAAGCTTTACCGCCATATAGGTGGAAACACACCCAAAGCGAAATGGATTATCACGGATAAAATGACATCGTACAAGTTTGTGAAAACTTCGACGGCGGATGGAGAAGATATTGGTGATTATGATGATTGTGAAGAATCAGGTGAAGGAGGTGAGTCTTTTTGGTTTCTGGGTGTTGGTACTAAGGTTAAAGCTAGGGTTTCCACGGATATGCAGTTGAAAATGTTTGGGGATCAGCGTAGAGTTGATTTTGTGAGTAATGGCGTTTGGGCTTTGAAGTTCTTGACGGATGAGGACTATAGGAAGTTTGTTACTAGGTTTCAGGACTATCTGTTTGAGAATGTGTATAAGATCAGGGCAAGTGAGGAGAACAGGATTAAAGTGTATGGGAAAGATTTCATTGGGTGGGCTAATCCTGAAGCTGCTGATGATTCTATGTGGGAGGATGCTGAAGCTCCACCTGAGGAAGAGGAAACTCAGGCCAAGAGAAATACGGATTTGACGGAAGAATTCGAAGAGGTGGCTAATGGTGGAGTTCAGAGTTTGACTTTGGGAGCGTTGGATAATTCATTCTTGGTGAATGATTATGGGGTTCAGGTTTATAGGAATATGGAGCGTGGGATTCATGGGAAAGGTGTGTGCGTGAGATTTGATTCTGGAACCTCAAAGTTCGGATCGGGTTCGAGCCAGACAACACCAAACAAGGCTCTTTTGATGAGGGCAGAGACTAATATGATGCTGATAAGTCCAGCTAAACAAGGGAAACCAAATTCCACTGGTGTTAAGCAGCTCGACATTGAGTCAGGGAAGATTGTTACTGAATGGAAATTCGAGAAAGACGGGACTGAAATCACGATGAGGGACATAACAAATGATACCAAAGGGTCGCAACTAGATCCATCAGAGTCTACCTTTTTGGGATTGGATGACAATAGGCTGTGTCAATGGGACATGAGGGACAGGAGAGGTATAGTGCAGAACATCGAATCTCCCATCTTGGAATGGACTCAAGGCCATCAGTTTTCTAGAGGAACAAATTTCCAGTGCTTTGCAACTACTGGAGATGGGTCAATTGTTGTGGGATCGCTTGACGGAAAGATAAGGCTGTATTCAAAGACCTCAATGAGAATGGCAAAAACGGCTTTTCCAGGGCTTGGTTCACCAATTACACATTTGGACGTTTCTTATGATGGAAAATGGATATTGGGAACAACAGATACGTACTTGGTTCTTATTTGCACCCTTTTCACAGACAAAGATGGTCGGACAAAAACAGGATTTAGCGGAAGAATGGGAAACAAAATACCAGCGCCGAGGCTGCTGAAGCTAACACCACTAGATTCACACTTGGCAGGAAAAGATAATAAGTTTCATGGCGGTCACTTCTCATGGGTAAGTTCCACTTCACACATTACTACTGTCTTCCTCAGATTCTTGATTGTTATAAAACCAAATCTGATAGTCTTTTTTGTGTGTTGTTTGCAGGTAACAGAGAGCGGGAAGCAAGAGAGACATATAGTAGCAACAGTGGGGAAATTCAGTGTAATATGGGACTTGGAGCGGGTGAAGAATAGTGCACACGACTGCTATAGGAACCAACAAGGACTCAAGAGCTGTTACTGCTACAAGATCTTGTTGAAGGATGAGTCAATTGTTGAGAGCCGATTCATGCACGATAACTTCTCCTTCTCCGGTAACAAATCGCCAGAAGCACCGCTTGTGGTTGCCACTCCTTTGAAAGTCAGCTCCATCAGCCTCTCTGGAAAACGACTTTAAAAAACAGTTTGAATCTAAAAGCTTTCCTTTGGTTATGTAATGAAATTTGATTGTAGTGTTTGGCTTTTTGTCATCGTGTGAAGGTTTGTGTTGAAAGAATGGCATTTGGCTTTTACTCAAATATGACACTACTATTACTAATACCTTTTGTAGATTAAGTTGGTTTCATAATTCTCTTCATGACTTGATTTTATTCTTCAAGCATACACATTTTGTGAACAGCTAATGTTACTGATTTGAAGTGAAAAAACAAAAGATTTGTCGGATGTGATGATATGAACCAATACAACATCCAATATCTGCTTAAGGCAAGCAAGTCTATGATCTATCCAATATGATTATATAAAGTCTTTATTCCCGGCTACAGACATGCAACGTCCTGTATACATTGCCCCGGTCCTGTTGTCCTCTCGGATAAGCTCAAAAAACCACTGCTACAAAAAGGTTGAGAAGCTTACGTTTGGGGACGAAGGATCTCTTTAAGGAGCAACGATCTGGATTTGTTAACGTTAGTGAACCAACGACAAATATGATCCTCAAGAACCTCGAGTTGATGGGTGTGGTTAACATGGCTCTTGCGAAGCTGTTTCACAAACTCCTGAACTGAATACACGTCCCTCCCCCTCTCCAATCCAAGTCGAATGAGAAGCTTGTCGTTTTTAATCCCCGTGTGCAAACGGGAGACAAGACGGTCAATGGTGTCAAGATCTTTGTTGAGCGCAAAAGTACCCTTGGCAGCAACATTTAGCTGAGAAATGTTAGATAACTCCTCCTTCTTGAAACTGTGAGGGAGGTAGGGAGTGCACAAGGGACCTGCAACAACAACAAGGGTCGGAAGTGCATGATAGGCGATAAAAGCCGCAGAAGCAGCAACCGCAACAACAGCAGTAACAAGACACAAGGCAGAACCAGCTGTGGCATGATGGAGGAGGCGGACCCGTGACTTAGACTTACGGATACGGGTGTCCAGCTTGTCAGCCAGCTGATAAAAGCATAATTGGGTGTCTTGAAAGCTGTGAGATTCAGGAGATGCGAAAGGGTTTTCAAACGTGTCAAGCTTAAGGAAAACATCGAAGGCTAAGTTACAGAAGGACTCGTCAATAGCGGAATGGGAATCACGGGGAAAGATTTTGAAGAGGTCTAAGAGGGGTGTGTAGAGGTGGCAGCGAGCACTGTGGACGTTTTGGTAAAGATTCAAACAAAAGCGGGTAGCGTCTTCGCTGTGTTGGAAGAAAGTGGAGATAAGATTGGTAAGTGTAGTTTGCTTGGCGTGTCTAAGACTAAGAGCTTCCTGAACGCATTCATTCTTTGGTTTGAGCTCTTGAGAGAGAAACAGCTCGAGATTTTCTTGTGTTGGGTCAACCGCAAGAAGCCGTGAACGTATATCATGGTAGGAAGGGGTTTGAAAAGCGTGAGCCAACTCGAGGCTGATGTTAAAAGTGGAGGCCACACTACCCTCTGTACAATAGAGGCCAAAGAAGAACTCAGTCAGGCATTTTAACGAACACGTGGTGAGCAGTTTCAGAGTAACGAGATGCATACCTGGAGAAGAATGGGGAAGAGGGTCGTCGGCGAGAGAGGCCTCCGCAGAAGGTGGCTTGAAGGTAAAACAGTGCGGCATCGAGAAGCCGAACTTGATTCATCAATGGAAAGCTACTGAATCATAATAATAGCTCATAACGTTGACTTTTAACTTGGTTATCAATTGAAGGACTTAATTACTTTCTTTTTAGTTTAGTCATATATGTTCTTGGCCTCTCAAGTAATATCAAAACAAGGATGAGTCCATTGTTGAGAGCCGATTCATGCTACAAGATCTTGTGGTGTTTGGCTTTTTGTCATCGTGGGAAGGTTTGTGTTGAATGATATTTCGCTTTTACTCAAATCATTATACATTTTGTGAACAGCTATCGAAAATCTGATTTAATTGGGAAAAAGAAAGAATGAATCTAACCAAAACGACTAAACAGAAAAAAAAATTCAAGAATGAGCTCCATAACAAAAGGCTATGGTGTTGAAAACCATACAATGGGGAATTGCATTTACAGAGAGACTTCCAATATTGTTTTATACAGTACCGAACCAGAGTTTCTGTTTTTTTTTTTCTTTATATGTCAAAGCGAATAATATGCAGTCTAATGACGAAATGGGGCCTACAATTACAAAACTGAAAAAAGGAAAACTATAACCTTTCTTCTTTTTTGTTTACCTCCAACTCTAATCAGTAAGGTAATGAAGCTGTGAACAAATTCTTCAGCAGCTAAAATAGTTTGGTTGGAGTCGGAGAAGTGGAAACATGTTCCGTATCTGTCATGCTTGCAAGACTAATCATCATCCTCTGAATCTGCCATCGACAAAAGAACCAAACGACCAAAAGAATGGTTACTCAAAAACTTCAGTAGATCCTCATTACACAGCCAACACAACATACAACAATTAAGACTATAATAGTTTGTGGCTTTGCAAGTCAGTAAAAAAGTCATCTGGCCCATAAAGCTAGCCGGTTTAACAATAGAGAAAAATGAGCCAGACTCATATGAAAGATATATCAACAAGTTCTTTTTAAACCTAGTTTAAAGAAAGATACAAAAGCCTTACCGGATCTTATGTCTTCTCCAACTTTTCCTCTGTTTTTAAGTAGTCTTACAATCATGGCACAGATGAGATACCACCAATATATGTGGAAAACGAGAAGCATCAGTAACATTGTGTTGAAAGAATAGTACATGATCGTGCCTTCAGCTGATGTCATATCCAAATAATCCAGGAGTTCAATGCTTTAACAAAAAAAGAGTGTGAATGTCAGATCAAACATTGACATCGAGACATTATAACTAAAAAGAGTTAGAATAAAGTGTGTCTACCTCGTGGCCCAGATGATCCAAAATGGGAAGTATATCAACCGTAGCAATAGCCAGGAGAGAGCAAATAGTGCAAAACACACACTTGCCCCAAATTCTTTTTCAGAGTACTTGAAAATTTTAGCCGTTTCCATAAACACGTCACTTGCATCATGAAGGGCTAGGATGATTGCTCCAATCCGGAAAAAACTGCAGAAGAAAACAAAACAAAACAATTCCAATAATCTTTTAATCTTTATAGGTTGCTCTATAGCTCACTAACCAACAAAACATCAGTCAACAACAGTCGAATCTTACAAGAAAACAAATGCATTTTATTTATTTGAGTAAAAGGTCTTTTACATTGAATTGATTTGTTAAACTTAACAAATCCTTTCAAAATCTAGGTGCTACTAAAGATATGAACTGATTAAATCTAGGTGCTAAATGATTAACTCTTTGCAACAAAGGATGGTCTGATACAAATAGATGAATCAAGGTCAAATTACCTGGTTAAGTAGGAGTAGCTAAGCAGGATGATTGTAATTACATGGTGAGACATCATGACAGCAAAATCCTTTCTTCTTGTCTCCCATGCAAGCAACGCAGCCACACCATACATATAAAAACCGCACTGGCACATATAGTAAAGCTTTATTGAAAGCCTACAAAGACAAAACAACATTAGCTAATTCGCTTTTCCATTATAATAATGAATCACATGTCCAGGGAACTATTCCATGAAACGAACTCAAGGCAGCTAGCAAATGTGAATGTGGATGTGATTACTCACTTCAACTCTTGATTTGGCCAACCGTCGAAGTAGAGTTTGATATCTCTGGCCCACGGCTCGTGATAAACGACTTGAAGAACGCAAAAGTCACAAGCAGCATAATACAACAATTTCCACAAAGACTCCTTGCATTTGACGATTTTTGCCCGAGTAGTAGCATCATTCAATTTCATCGGAGAAGAACCGGTACTCAAAAGCCAAACAGCTATCCTCTGATTGATAAAGATGAACAACAATGAGAATCTCATACTTGTTGAAGAATTTCAAGTGTCAACGCATATACATGATGAGATAAATTAAAGGCGAATTTAATACAAGTCTCTCTGCTAACAAAGGCAATAAAAGCTTCCGTTGGAACCAAAAACTGGAGATTCTCTTACTTACTTGAAAGACGAATCTATCGAGGAAAAGCCTCAAGAAGAAGAATCCGAAAGCGAAATAGACAGCAATCTGGAAATGCCACACCTCCATCGACGGTGACGGTGATGATACCGATGATTCCATGTCCGGCGCCGAAGAAATACCTCTTTTCACTGAGAAATCATCCAACAGAAGAATCAAAATCTTCCTGTAGAACAAGCAACACCTTCGCCGCGCCGAGAATTTGATCGCGGAATTGGAGGAGAAATTGATTGGAATCTTTTGAGGGAAGACAAGAGATTCGGAGCACGTTTAAATCCTCCGGTTGGAAAATACCTTTGGGAAATTGAAATTGAGATCTCACGACCTTCCTTTTTCATTATTTATTGCTTTTTTTTTTTTAATCAAACAAACAACTTATAATTACTAGTAGTATTATTAACCGTGTTTTATTTAAAACAATTACATATATGAACAAGTTTCTTTATCTCAGCTCTTAAACAATTATATAAAGATTATTACCTCTAACATTACAAAAAAAAAAAAAAAAAAAGATACAATTCAGCTAAATGAGAGTAATTATAAAACTTAGGCTCTACGACTACGATAAAGGATTACTTAGAAGGTTGGATTAACTTTAAACCAAAGCAGGAGCATGATGCTCAAGTGTAAGCAATCATCATGTTCCCCTTAACATTGTAATTATTTTTTTAATTGAAACATGTTTTTGTTTATATTGTATGTTAATCTTTATATTCAGAAACTTAATTAAGAATGCAAGTGGTTTGGCTTTTTTCCTTGTTTCAATGTGTCTCCCCGATTTGAAGTCATTGACAACGATTAGTCTTAGTATTCGAGGATACTTTTCTACGTCAATCTAAGTGTTCTTGATATTTTTCGAAAGGGGTTTGAAAAGCTCTTACCAATTTGTATCCATATCTCATGTTTTCAATTTGTATTTTGAAATTAAATAGCATGTTCAAATCTAAAATTATGTTATCTACGTGACAGATCAATCATATAATATGCATGATATGTCTACTAGTTGGTACTTGGTATATAGTAATCTTTCTAGTTTTCTTTATCTTCACTTACTTGTCAAGATAGGCCTAGGCAAAATATTCGTGAGATCCACTTCGACTCGGTATTCGTTTTAATTCGATTCGAAAAATCCGAATATCCGTAAAATTTTGGAGCAAACCAAATAGGAAAATATAGTATTCGTGAAAACCGAGACAATAACAAATATTGATTTTTTTAAAGTCGGATATCCGTTCGATCTGTAATTTTTGATATATATTAGTATATAGATATATTTTTGGTAAAAGAAATTTGATATGTATATCATAATATATTTTTGGTTTGTATCTATTTTTGGTTTGTATCTCTAAACTCAGTTTTTTATCCTTGTACATGTGTTTGTGACACAATTTAATAGTTTTTAGGGGGCTTTTACACTTTTCAAAAATACCCCTTTTTAAAAACCTTATAAAAAATACTCTTAAAAATATAAGATTTACCCAAATATGTATGTAATATTATTAAAACATACACAAACTACATTTCTATGTATCTAAAATCTTATAAATACTTTATAAATACCTTATAAATGCATTTTAAATACCTTTAAAAACCTTTAAAATATCTTGTAAAACCTTTGAAAAACCTTAAAAATCCTTTAAAATAACTTGTAAAACCTTTTAAAACACCTTATAAATCCTTATAAATACTTGGATCGAGTCTTCAAGTAGTAGTTACAATCCATAAATACCTTATAAACCTAATAAAACTTTATAAAAATTTCAGATTTAAAAAGGGGTATTTTTGAAAATAGACATCTAAAAGGGGCATTTTTGAAAAGGGGCACACCAAAAGGGGTATTTTTAACAATTTCCCTAGTTTTTATTGGTGAAGGAGAATATATTTTTAAAAAAAAATCAATGTCCCTTAAAATAAGAAGTTGGAATCCTGCGACGATTTTTTTTCCCAAATTTTATCTTATTCTTCATAGTTTTACACGAGGCGCTTAACTTTTTAAAATTTTAATAGATGCAGAAGTATCGAAGCGGATATCCGCAAATATCACACAAAAAAATCCGAATATTCGATTTTCCGAATATCCAGAAATTTTCGGATCAAAGCAAATCACAAAATTAAGTATTCGGTTGAGACGAATCGAATAACAAATATCTCAAATTTTTCGGATATCCGCTTCGTGCCTAGGACCAGTCAAGATTGATCCATCCACGACCTTTAGAACTCATGCTTTCAGCACTTGTCTTTCTATTTGTCACGCTTGGACTCATTATTTCTAACCAATTTCGTTGACAAATAAATTGTCATCTATAATCACAATCTTTTCTGCTTACTCCTACAAAATTTCAGAACCAAGAAAAAAATGGGCTTCTTGAATAATGCTTAAGCCCAATGGATAGATATTTCTAATCCGCTAATTTGTTGAGCGACAATACTAGGATATGTGAATATTTAATGCAATAATAGCCTTGGGCGTAAGAACAAAACCCCCACCCGAGTTCTTGATTAACAAACACTTCATCAAATTCAAACCACCCAAGTTAATACGACATACCTACAATACAATATTTTAAAAAGGTGTGAATTTTCTTGTTTCTGAATATAGAAAATTCACAAAATAATAACTGAAACTAAAATTCAACATGTTAAAACTTTTTTTTTTTGGTATAACTCGTTCAAAACATAACATTTCTAAGGAACTGTTTTTGCCATGGTCTTTACAAGTTTATATATGTTTTTATTATTTCACTTAACCGATAATAGAAATAAATCTTTAGAATCCAGTAGTTTATGGTTTCATGTGTTTAATCTATCTAAATGTCTCTTCAAAAATTAAAAAAAAAAAAAAAAAAGAATCTTTTCAAAATACCCGGCTACCGAAATAATTACTTGTCAATTCCTTACATGTGAATTAAAAATTCACCCACCACACACTCAAAGGGACAACAACTAGTATTAAATTTCCGACACAAATATAAAAGATTGAAACAGATAAACTACAACACGTAAAATATATAAAGATTTTAAATTCCTTTTCAATTTTCAATTTTTGTTTCTTATAAAACGGAATAATTGAAAAATGGCGATGTTTGGTTGCACGAGTAGGAGCACCAAACAAAAATGGATATAAAATAGACTAAAAACCGAAAAGGAAATCAGTTCGTAAATTAGGTCCCCATAGCTAACTTTACATTTTCATTGGTACAACACTCAACACTCCCATGTTAATTTACACCCCAAATATTATTATCAATGACAATAATAACTAATGATAAATAAAGGAATCCTCCTTTTATATGATCAATGTTGATTCTTCTTCTTTTCTTTTTTTTCCTTTTTTCCATTTTTTGTGGTTCTAATTTTAGTGTGATGATGATTACCCTTGTGATGCTCGATTCCTTTGATGATATATCCTTGTAAGGCTTTCTTTTGGAACTAAGAACAGTTTTAAATATCATCTCTTTAGTGTAAGTTCTCCGGAAAAAAGGGTGTTGTAGCTTTTATAAGTAATCACTTTTTCTATTAAATGATTTCAATAGTTATTCAAGATAAAGATCCAAAACACTGATTAAGGTCGTCTACTGTTTCAAATGTATATATGTTACTTACCAAAAAAAAAAAAATACAAGACAAAAATACAGGTTCGTTTATTAATCTCTTTTTCATTTGCGTTTGCAATTTCAAACTTTTTTTGTGATACAGTTCTAGAATGTTATATAATTTTTTTGTCTAAAATTTTATTTAACAATATGAAAAAATGAGAAACAAAAAAAACACTATTCAGCAATAATTTGAATGATAGGTTCTGAAAATATAGTAAGGAGATAGTGATTTAGTGATACTGAGAATGAATACTCATAGATCACTAGCTAGTTTATTCCGATTTGGAAAAGGTGATATACATTTAAAGTTTTAAACATAACAATATTAAAAGCTGAGTAGAAAAGAGATTATGGGTTAAAAGATAGAAAACTGCTATCGTTTAAAAAAAAAAAATTGATTCAAGGTGAACAAAAAATAAAAGAAAGGGAGGCAAAGGCCATTGTCATGTTAGGGAGGACCATTCCTCCAAGATATGATGAATACCTGGTAGCCAGAAATACAGGCGGCCTGACTACCCCCTGGCACTTAGTCGGAAGGCATTCCAAACTCGGGATAGGCAGAGTGGTAGCCCGTAAGGGCCTAACCGTTAACACAGTGGACCAGTCCACTATGTAGTACTTCGGTGCGTTCCTACCGGGGCCGACCGGATAACCGATAGGGTTTATAAAAAAAAAAAAAGAGATTATGGGTTAAAAGATAGAAAACTTCTATCGTTTAAAAAAAAAAATTGATTCAAGGTGAACAAAAAATAAAAGAAAGGGAGGCAAAGGCCACTGTCATGTAGGGAGGACCATTCCTCCAAGATATGATGAAAACCGGGGATGACCCCATTTTTTGTTCTTTTCATATTTTTTATTAAAATTGAAAAACTCTTTTTTTCTAGGTGGCCAAGTTATTTAACGACACGTGGCATAGTCTCATGAAAGTGAGAAGATGCTCTATTTTTATTTTATCGTAGCCACGTCATTTTCGAAGTCCACTCACATATAGACACACACACCTCTAGTTTTTTGTTTTGTATTATTTGCTTTTTTTCACATTCACGCTTTGTGGTCGTGTTGCTCTCCCTTCACGTGTATAAAGTATTTTACCCCAAATCGACCAATTTCGACTATAATACCGGAATCGACATTTTACTTCATCATAGTTGTTACATGTAACAACGCCCTAAGAACTACAACAATGATTTTTAAAAAATGACAAGGTTTTTTTTTTTTTAATCGAATTTAGATTAATTTTGGCTAATTAAGACAAAGATTAGTAATAGAATTTGATGGTTTAACTAAAGAACTAAAGAGATTGTCGACGAAATGTAGCGGGAAGACCGTCTTGAGGTATCGGAAATGGACTGTACTGTATTCCTTTCTCGCCTCCCTTCACTTCCCATCTGCATAGACAATTAAATAACAACAACATACATCATTAGTACATCACATGTGAAAGCATTTGTTTGAGTCATAATAAGATATATGTACTTTATTTGTTAGGAGAAGTGATGTGTTTAATCATGTTTAGACAAGTCACTATGCAAAGTCGTTATTATGTTTTGTGTACGATCATAAATTTCAAAATCATGTTTTTGACACGTTGTTAAGATGGCAACAGAATTATGATGTAAATTAAATCATCGTTTATACTAAATTAAGATTTGAAAATTAATTAAGCTAGTTATGCAAATAGAGAAAGACTTTAAAGTGATCA